CTCTCTCTCTTTTTTTTTATTTTTTTAGGCACTGGCTGCATGTGTTTTCTTAAGATTACCTTGCACTCTGACAAGCTTTAACCTGCCTTCAAACTTTGATGATTAGGAATTGGCTTCCTTAAGATACTCCTCAAATTCCTCAATCTGAGAAGAAATACATGCTTTAAGAGTTTTGAATTATATGATAGCACATGCTTACCTTGAGCAACAGGTAGTGTTTCACAAGAGAAATATTTGTGAAACTTTCAGCAAAGAGTACAGTCTTTCCACACAGCATGTTTCCCCTGCAGTATCACCTGCATGTTGAGCTATATGTGTTATTAAGGCTAATTTTGTTCCTCCCCACATATAAAAATTAAAGCCTTGGTATTAAATCCTTTTTTAGGCTCAGATATCTGCTGGGAAACTATTGCTTGCTCAACAGGTTGCTGCAGATTGCGCTCTGATTGACATCCAGACAGCTGCTGGCATCTTATACTTACCCATTTCATAATAGGTGCCCAGAAAAACACTGTTTTGGGACCTGCAGGAGGAGGAGGGAAAAAGGAAAAGAAGTTAAATTATTCAGTGAGATGTGGCTGCTTTAATACCCACAGTAAGTTTTGGGTTTGTTTTGGTTTTTTTAAATAACAAACTGTGTATATTAGCACAGTTTCTACCACTGTACAAGCTCTAACACCTAGTACTCATAAGTTCATCAACTCAGTGCATCAACCTTCAGCTGTGTAATCGGTCCACCCATTTCTGCAACAGATGAGCAGGATTTTGTATTTTCACTTTTAAGCAAACAAGGACACTAGAGCAGGCAAAATGTATTTATAATGAAAAGAGTTAGGATAAGGCCTAGGAATAGTGAAGAGTTTCTATATGATTAAAAGCTACTCTACAGCTGGACTAGCAGAATTAGTATTCGAAATCTTTATCAACTGAACCTTGTAAACTAAAATTCCAAAATTGGTACTGTAACAAGTCAGTCCCTCCTTCCCCTCCCAACTCACAGCCCACCTCTTCGTGCTGCAGAAGACATGGTGTACAGCAGCATTAGTTGGTGAAATTGCAAACTTAAGTAGCGGTAAATGTTGCAAGGAGAGTGTCCTCGCATACCTCTGATCTGCACCTCTCAATAGCCGTGGCTTTCTAGCAGAAAAAAAGCTTCCCACCCAATCAACCCCACACCCCAATAATATCCCAACAGGCAAAGGAGGATTATGGGAGAAGAGGACAAAATCTACAGAAGGAAGGGAGAAAACTCAATGGAATGGGATGAGGGAAAACCCTCTCTCTTACAAATACATGTAACTTACAGTGGCGCTAAAATGGCAACTGGTTGGGTTAAAACAAAGTACTGTAATGCCACATCTACAAGGTGCAGACTGCCAACTGTGCCAGAAATCACTAATCCAGGACTACTGCTCAAAGTCTTAAAAGAGAGACCACGACCCAAAGTATCAACCCACCACACTGAGAGACGGTTAGGACACTGGTTCCGATTTCATCAAAACATTAAGTTTTAGGTCTCACTAGGCCACTGCTCAGCGTTCTGAGAACATGCAAGATTAAGCCAAGTTTTCAGTGTAATATGTTACATATTACGAGTAAAGTTTTTGAATATAAATGATAAACACTAAGGACTTTGGTTGCTTGGTTTTTATGTGAGCTAATTTTTCACTAACAATTCAGCCTTAAAAAGGCCTTGCAGTATGTATAAAAACTAGTATAAAACTCCCTGTTTTAAGCACCTCAGCTTTAAAACTACCACTTGGGAAAAAACGAACTGTCAGGTTTCTTCAGCAAGCACCTGTGAAGCAACTTGTAATTTGGGGGATAAGAGTAACTGCTACAAATACCAGTTGCTCCATCACCTTAAAGCCACCTAAGCCCTGTAAAAGGGCAGGGCAGCTGCAACGCTGAACGCAACAAAAACTGGCTTGGTGGCTTTGCATAAAGCCCGCTTAGACCCACGCCGCCTGCGATGGTGATCAAGTTTCAAACTGCAGTTAATAACTACTAGCACATTACCTTCCGCTTGGATAACTGAATGTTTCTACCTACATAGGATTTAATTTTTTTTTGGATGCATGGGGTTGTGCAGCCACTAAAACTGTCTAATGTTGAATAAATACAGCTCAACATTCATCCTTTAAAGATATAAACTTCAGTTGCTGTTCTCTTAAGCAGCTACTTAGTATGTCAGCATCAGGCTGCAAATATAAGTCTTTATAAATCAGTCTTACAGAGGTCCCACAGAAGTAGCTTTAATTGTTATCATCTATTTTCTTCTTCTAAAATGCAAGTTCAGGTTTGGAGTACTGGAGAATGTGGGGTGAGTATGAATTATTAAATTGACATTCCCTAAACAACTAGTAAAGTTTTCAAGAAGACTGTCAATTTTTATTAAAAATAGATAACTTGACAGCTTAAAATTGCTGACCACAAAAGTAAGAAACAACTGAAGTTGAGTGAGGTACCAAGCCAAGCTTGTTAGAAGGGCAGACTGTCAAACACCGCAAGCGAACACCCCTCCTGGAGGCATGCCAGTAAGCAGCCAGCCCGGGTGAGCTCCTCCCCAATCCCGACACCCAGAATTTTTCAAGGGTGAATGTGACAGCAGCACATCAGAGCAGGGACATACCAGAGGCTAATTTGGATATCCATGTATGTGTCCAGTTTACTGAATTCATGATTTCTATTCAATGCAAGAAGTCTTTGTCCTGGAGAGTTTAGTTTAATCAGCCAAAGTGAACCAAAGAGGACAAAGGAGAGGGAGCACAAGCTCAGCCCATGCTTATCCGTGGCTGCCAAGAGTGTTGTTCCCTGCTCCGTGGCAGCCAGGGAGGTTGGTGTGCTGTAACCCAGGCCCTTCGCTGTCCTCCAGCAGCCTTGCCCTGTGCAATGCCAGCCAACGGAACAGCTTTTCAGACCAGGCATCAACTGTTTTACTGGAAGCTTGCTTTGTGCCAGAAAAGAATTAACACTGTTCTTAATTTCTTGCAAGTGATTTATAATGTCATGATAATGACATTCATATTCCTAAATTGGACTAGAAACTTAGATACCGCCAGAGATAAAATGTGAGCCTTTCATTTCTAACCCACTTATTTTGTAGTCAGAGTGACATGTATTGCATAACTTTCTCAGAGGCCCATCTTCAAGACATTCAAGGCTGAACCAGAAGTGGCAGAGGTTCAGTTTTGATACCTGCCTGCTCTGTGGCTTTTCTCACTCCATCAGTATGGACCACGGCAGATATATATGTATATATGCATACATACACACACAGAGTCCCTAAAAAATGGATTTATTTTTTTTTTTAATTTCAACATTATGGTGGTGAACAAAAGCAGCCCAGAGGCAGTTGCATGAAGCAAAAAACACTGCAAGAGAACCTCCAAAGCCTTTTTCAATTAGTACTACAGTTCTGATGAAGAATGAACATAGACATTCCCAGTGCGCACCATGCCTTGTACTCACTAAAAGCAATTGGAAGTTGCCACGTTTAGGATCATAGAATCATTTAGTTTAGAAAAGACCTTTAAGATCATCAAGTCTAACTGTTACCCTAACCCTGCCATTCCACCACTAAACCATGTCCCTAAGCACCTCGTCTACCCATACCTCCAGGGATGGGGACTTAATCACTTCCCTGGGCAGCCCACTCCAGTGCTTGACTACCCTTTCAGTAACGAATTTTTTCTTGATATCCGATCTAAACCTCCTCTGGCACAACTTGAGGCCATTTCCTCTTGTCCTATTGCCTGTTACTTGGGAGAAGAGACCAACACCCACCTCGCTACAGCCTCCTTCCAGGGAGTTGTAGAGGGTGATAAGGTCACCCCTCAGCCTCCTCTTCTCCAGGCTGAAGAACCCCAGTTCCCTCAGCCACGCCTCATAAAACTTGTGCTCTGGCTTTCACACAGGATGAATGTGGCACTCAGAGTCTTGGCACCTTTACAATGGAAGTGCTGGACATACTGACCCTTTATATACAAAAATTACATTAAAGTTAAATATATGTATTGGTCTAATGAATTCAGTACAAATCAGACATTGTGATAACTGCAGTTTTCACTCTTTAATTGTGATTTCTTTAAAGCAAGGATTTTCATTTCAAGAAAGGACTGTCACAGGAGGATGGAGCAACGGACTAAAAACTAAAGTCCATTTTCACAGTGCATATTCCAGGTAGGTGAAGAGTCAAGGATGCGTATCACACTGAAACAAAACAGTGGGAACAGCAGCCTATGGAATTTAACGATTTTATCAAGCACTCTTTTTAACTAACCTGTCATGTTTGTTTACACGACAAACATCACCTAAATGGCACCGAAGCAAATCATTTTACAAGAGGTTTCTCCCTAATAACACACAAACCCCCCTGTTTGCTCAAGTAGAGGTAAGCTTTAGGTCAGGTGAGGGGAGCTCATTTCAGGGAAACTCGAGCCCTTCCACGGGAGTGCTTCGGCTGCGAGAGCGGATTCACGAAGGGCAGGAGTTGTCTTTGGTAGCAGCGCCAGATTCGGCAGAAAGAAAATACAGCAAACAGCAGCTTGACTTAAGCCAGGGTACACTTCAAGATGAGAAATCCTTGCAGCGCTCCCCACCCGCCCCCCTTTTTTTTTTTTTTCAGCAGATGCTTTTGAAAGAAGTGACTGCTGAAGCCTGTGGCCTCCTTTGGAAATCATCACCTCCCCTGGCTTAGGATCAGGTAGCCCAGCTGTACCCCGGATCCAAAGTGACTCTCAAGCACACTCGGGCATCGCAGGAGCCGGGAGCAACCGTCAGGATCGCGCCTGGCTTTTTTTGTTTTTTCCAAATAAAACAAGTTTTCCTTTACCGAGCAGGAGCCCCACTCTCCGGCGGTTTTCCCCGGGTCAGAATCA